AAGTACAGTAGTAACACAGGAAGTACAGTAGTAACACAGGAAGTACAGTAGTAACACAGAAAGTACAGTAGTAACACAGGAAGTACAGTAGTAGCACAGGAAGTACAGTAATAACACAGGAAGTACAGTAGTAACACAGAAAGTACAGTAGTAACAGAGTAAGTACAGTAGTAACAGAGTAAGTACAGTAGTAACACAGGAAGTACAGTAGTAACACAGAAAGTACAGTAGTAACAGAGTAAGCACAGTAGTAACAAAGTAAGTACAGTAGTAACACAGGAAGTACAGTAGTAACACAGGAAGTACAGTGAACAGAGTAAGTACAAATATAAAACAAAAAGTACAGTAGTAACACAGGAAGTACAGTAGTAACACAGGAAGTACAGTAGTAACACAGAAAGTACAGTAGTAACACAGAAAGTACAGTAGTAACAGAGTAAGTACAATAGTAACAGAGTAAGTACAGTAGTAACACAGAAGTACAGTAGTAACACAGGAAGTACAGTAGTAACACAGAAAGTACAGTAGTAACAGAGTAAGTACAATAGTAACAGAGTAAGTACAGTAGTAACACAGAAGTACAGTAGTAACACAGAAAGTACAGTAGTAACAGAGTAAGTACAGTAATAACACAGGAAGTACAGTAGTAACAAAGTACAGTAGTAACACAGAAAGTACAGTAGTAACATAGGAAGTACAGTAGTAACACAGGAAGTACAGTAGTAACAAAGTACAGTAGTAACACAGAAAGTACAGTAGTAACAGAGTAAGTACAGTAATAACACAGGAAGTACAGTAGTAACAAAGTACAGTAGTAACACAGAAAGTACAGTAGTAACATAGGAAGTACAGTAGTAACACAGGAAGTACAGTAGTAAACAGAAAGTACAGTAGTAACACAGGAAGTGCAGTAATAAACAGAAAGTACAGTAGTAACACAGGAAGTACAGTAGTAACACAGGAAGTACAGTAGTAACACAGGAAGTACAGTAGTAACACAGAAAGTACAGTAGTAACAGAGTAAGTACAGTAGTAACACAGGAAGTACAGTAGTAACACATGAAGTACAGTAGTAACACAGGAAGTCAGTAGTAACACAGAAGTACAGTAGTAACACAGGAAGTACAGTAGTAACACAGAAGTACAGTAGTAACACAGGAAGTACAGTAGTAACAGAGTAAGTACAGTAGTAACACAGGAAGTACAGTAGTAACACATGAAGTACAGTGTAACACAGAAAGTACAGTAGTACAGAGTAAGTACAGTAGTAACACAGGAAGTACAGTAGTAACACATGAAGTACAGTAGTAACACAGGAAGTACAGTAGTAACACAGGAAGTACAGTAGTAACACAGGAAGTACAGTAGTAACACGGAAGTACAGTAGTAACCAGGATACAGTAGTAACAGAGTAAGTACAGTAGTAACACAGGAAGTACAGTAGTAACACATGAAGTACAGTAGTAACACAGAAAGTACAGTAGTAACAGAGTAAGTAAAGTAGTAACACAGGAAGTACAGTAGTAACACAGGAAGTACAGTAGTAACACAGAAAGTACAGTAGTAACAGAGTAAGTACAGTAGCAACAGAGTAAGTACAGTAGTAACACAGGAAGTACAGTAGTAACACAGAAAGTACAGTAATAACACAGGAAGTACAGTAGTAACACAGAAAGTACAGTAGTAACCCAGGAAGTACAATAGTAACACAGGAAGTACAGTAGTAACACAGGAAGTACAGTAGTAACACAGAAAGTACAGTAGTAACATAGGAAGTACAGTAGTAACACAGGAAGTATAGTAATAACACAGGAAGTACAGTAGTAACACAGGAAGTACAGCAGTAACACACGAAGTACAGTACTAACACAGGAAGTACAGTAGTAACACACGAAGTACAGTAGTAACAGAGTAAGTACAGTAGTAACACAGGAAGTGCAGTAGTAACAGAGTAAGTACAGTAGTAACACAGGAAGTACAGTAGTAACACAGGAAGTACAGTAGTAACACAGGAAGTACAGTAGTAACACAGAATGTACAGTAGTAACACAGGAAGTACAGTAGTAACACAGGAAGTACAGTAGTAACACAGGAAGCACAGTAGTAACACAGGAAGTACAGTAGTAACACAGGAAGTACAGTAGTAACACAGGAAGTACAGTAGTAACACAGGAAATACAGTAGTAACAGAGTATGTACAGTAGTAACACAGGAAGTACAGTAGTAACAGAGTAAGTACAGTAGTAACACAGGAAGTACAGTAGTAACAGAGTAAGTACAGTAGTAACACAGGAAGCAGTAGTAACAGAGTAAGTACAGTAGTAGCAGAGTAAGTACAGTAGTAACAGAGTAAGTACAGTAGTAACACAGGAAGTACAGTAGTAACAGAGTAAGTACAGTAGTAACACAGGAAGTACAGTAGTAACACAGAAAATACAGTAGTAACACAGGAAGTACAGTAGTAACAGAGTAAGTATAGTAGTAACACAGGAAATACAGTAGTAATATATTAAATTCAGGAAATATATTACTAACTAAAAGTACAGCGCTTACAGGATGAAAACTATACAGGAAAGTAGATTGATTAAGGTAACTTAAATCCTGACAAGAGATACAATACTCGCCTGGCAACTACAGTACTCACAAGATTACAGTGCTCTTTAAATCAGTCCACAAGAGTAATAAGAGGACTGGTATTGTACTCTTATAAAGGGTACATACCAATAGACAAGTGTACAGTACTCTTATGAAGAGTACATACCAACAGACAAGTGTACAGTACTCTTATGAAGAGTACACACCAACGGACAAGTGTACAATACTTACAAGATGAGCAGAGAATTTACTTATAAAAGTGTGGCACTTCTATAGAGACTGTAGTTCATCTAAAGGGTGTAAAGCACATTAAGCCTACATTATTCTAGGAAAAGTACAATACTTCTAAGAAACACAATCCCTCTAGAGCGAGTACAGTACTTCTTCTAAGTACAATAACTCTGGTAGAATCCAGTACTTTTAAAGCAAGGATAGCACACTGACAGGATTCATGGCATTTTTAAAGAGTAAGCACAGTACTTGGTAGGATTGTAGGTTGACGCTGGGAAACAGTGGTTTGGGAAGGTAAAAGTTCGTCAATGGTTCATCCATGCTCACGTGAAAGCCACCGCAGGGTATAAACAGTGTCCTCGTATGAGCCATGGAAAGCCGTCCACAAGTGAATCTTGCATCAACGAACTCAAGTCCAAGAAGGTAGTGATATGGGTAATCTTTATGGATTCAAAATTACTACACCATTTTGGTACAAACAACCATTTACTTTCCCTTGTGAAGCCCCACAACACATGACATAAAGAGAACAGGTGGTCATGGTGGGCTGGAGGATGCTGCACTTCTAGAACCCAGTTATTTTGTTTGAGGGTCTGTCACTACCTTTAGATGTACCATTAGTCGTGGAATTAGGGGCATCGTTGCCTGAAAAAAGTAATATTAGTGAATGTCAGTAAAAATGTGAGAAAAGACAAGCTCACCTGTAATCTAACAATGACTTGGCAAGAGAAGTCTGGCCACAATAACAAAACTAAAATTACAGTAGAAGATGCAGAGAGAAAACTCTTGGCCAATGGTGTTGTTAAATTACAGTGTGAGCCAGTTGAAAGAAGCGGATGAGGGGGTCACAGACACCCAAGAAGTCATGTGCAGGAAACAGTCCTAGTTGCTTTGTGACGTTTTGTGAAGGAAGCGCATAAATTTGTGAACAAGATCAGTAGAAAGCTAAGGTGTTTCAGTGAACAAGAGTGTGTCTCAGATTCCCAGAAGGAAATGGTAATGCCTAAAATTATTCTGTCCAACTACGAATGGTTTAAATGTGGCTGAATCTTAACTAGAGGAACACGAGCCACAATATGGTAGGGACAGTTCAAAACTAACCCATAAATTGTAATTGAAACTAGGTGACATTTGATCCATTCTGGACCAATATTACTCTGGCAGAACGTCCTCTAGTTTCTTATCAAATTTATGGTTTAGTTTGAACTGAGATTGAATTATTTAAGAGTATTTGAGAACTGAATAATATTGTAAGTTTCTTAAATACCAAATTTAAACACAACTCTTATTAGAAGGAGAAATTTTAAGCTGATCAGTGAATTTTACTCATGACATTCTTAAATTATCAACAAAGAAGACATAACTAAACTTTAGGGAACGTGAGACAAACTCTCAAAAAAGAGGTTAGTTAACAAGATTGCAAAGGACTTTAGCATAGATAAGGATGTCACTTATGGTAACAAAGACTGACTTGATTCACCAAAATTATGTGAAGAAGACAGATTACTAAGTAAAAAATCAGTCACAATGTCACTTTACTGTCCTGATGAAAGTTAAAAAAAGAATTGTGACAATTAGCAGTCCTTTAGCTTCTTATAAAAATCTAAAAACAGCAAAAGTTGGTTTATCACGAGCATGTCAAGATATGAATGTCAGGAGATATGAATGTTGGAGGTGAAGAGGTGGCAAACACTGGAGGAAATGTTGAGGGAGAGGAGGAAAGGAAGATTGCACTCTGTTAGAACTGGCTGAGGCACAACCCTATCCAATCACATTTACACCTTCAAACATTTTCAACACACGCCAACATATATATATATATATATATATATATATATATATAATATATATTATATAATATATAATATATATATAATTATATATTATAAATATATATATAATATATATATATATATATATATATATATATATATATATATATATATATATATATATATATATATATATATATATATATATATATATATATATATATATATACATATATATATATAATATATATATTATATACATATATATATGTATTTAAATATTTTGTATTTACACAATGTACACTCAAGTTCAGGAATACCATGCACATTGAAAATAAAATATAAAAACAAATACTTTTATTACTTTTCGAGCTATAGACATGTATGAACAGCTATCACTGCTGTAGGTTTTTCTGAAGAAAGTCCAGCAAGCACAATGTTGGGACTACAGAGTCAAATTAATTATTGATTGTATATGAGGCTATGTAAAGGGAGCAGATATGAGTTTCACACACCTGCAGAAATTACATGAGAATTTTACATTATGGGTAACATTTAAATAATCTAGACTATGATTCTGAGAAAGAAACAATGCATGTCATTTGGTGCAGTTTAACTGAATTTTCCTTGTAAATAAATGGAAATAGTAGATAAGAGTTATACATCTGTGGGTAACAATAGATATAAACATTGCATTTATGAAAACAAACAGATAAACAACAGTGACAAAGATAAGTGTGAATAAAAGCCATAACAAGGTATAGTACAGTAATATTATTATGGTTAAAACTGGGTACAATAGGTTAAGATTCAAATTACAAAAAAAGTTTGACTTGAATGCTAGAAAGGTTATGTGACAAAATGAGAGTACCGTACATTTAAGGTGGAATACTGAGGCAACACTGTAAGGCTTTATTATGTAGGCGCCAGGTTACCGTGTAATGGGTGGAGGGAGAAGAGAGGTTGTTTGAGGGCGAAGATGGGTGTTAGTAGAAGAAGAAGAAGGAGTCATACGTGCAGGATAAACAGCTTTTGAGGATTGCAAGACATCAGAAAGTCGACCTCTGTCTACGTCGCGGAGATCTGCCCCTTGCAGGGCATCTTGCAAGTCTTCTATATAGGTAAAGTTTCTTGGTGAAAAGAAGCTCTCTCCAACACTGGTCTGACAGCCATGATAATGAGATGATTGTGATACACGTACTGAGGGAGTTTTAGACCCATGTAAAGGGGATGATTGGGACCCACGTAGTGTGACAGTTTGGGGCCCATGTATAGAGGACACTTGGGAGCCACTTAGGGGGGTGGTCCGAGGGTGTGGTGGAATCGCAGCACTGTAATTGTTGGGTAGGGCAGCGGTGGGCAGCGGGAGAGTGTTGAGGGTGGTAGGGGGCGCCGTATGAATGTTGGAGCGGGCGGTTGGTTCCGCCACATAAGTATTGGAGAGGGCGGTGGGTGGGGTTGCCACTGTTGGGGTGGGTGGAGGTGGGCAGTACCCCACACCCAATTGCAGGTGGTTGTTAAGACTCAACATGGGGATGACCTCATCACCGTTGCCTACCAAACAAATGAACATTGTAAGATCACTTGAGCCAAATTCAATATCTCAGATGTTGATGCACTTATCTCATGCTAATAATCTGAGACATAATTGCTGTTTTCCACATTACCAAGTTGCACAATTATTCTTAGTAGTTGTCTAAATCTTACTCATCCAGACTCCAATACCTTCATTAATTAAACTATTAATTTATCTACTATATAATTAAACTAATTTGAGTTCACTTTTCCTACGTATATGCCTTTGGCCATTTACTATATCTCTGGTCACAGCTTACTTGAGTTTTTTCTTTACAATTACCAGTGTTTAAGAAATACAGCGGGTGCTCTCTTATCTGACCACCGAATATCAAAACTTACATCCTAGCAACCCTTCTGAAAATGTCTGGACAAGAAACCGAACATCTCTGACATCAGTCCCATCAGCAAAAAAGATCGTAAAATCCACCCCCTCAAAAAAAAAAAAAAAACAAGAACTATGAAAATACATTAACTGCAGCTCTCCCTTAAAATTAGTCTCATTCTTAGAATCCTGATCATCCCTGAGGTTCAACTTACTTCTATGTCCTTCTTTATTCACATATGTTTTTAAGCAAATGTTTTTATCTTGGGTTCTAAGCTATTAATTGCCTTTATCGCCTATGTATGTTTGGTGTAGATGCGCTTATTGCTTACTTGTTTGGTACAATTTTGTCCCATAACTGATATATAATTAGCGTTTTTCAAAAGCTGGTATTCACGTTTATCTTTTATTTTATAAGTTTCCTCAGTTATTTTTGGATAAATTATATAGACGAATATTAAGTGAAAATATTCGCAGGAATTTTATTCTTTCAAATTAGCCTCGTTATAATTCCCACCACCGACCACATGACAGTTTAACCGAACGCCCATGTATCCGGTGAAGGCTCTGCACCATCATTTAATTCGGATAATCGAGCACTCACTGTAGTCCATAAAACTGTACTTAAGACTGAAGAGTGACACATAACTGTGACTGATACACACAAACACACACACATGTGAAATATGAAGAATGGAAGCATTAAATTTTCTTTCACTAATAAACATAAAATAAAGCGATATCACAGCCATTTACAATTTTTTTTAAAGAATACAATACAACAGGAGAACAAGAGGACATAATTTTAAAATAAGGAAAGAATAACACGAAGCATTTATTATTATTTTTGTTATAGCTAATGGATTGAATAGACTCCAACAGAAGGTGGTATATGCCAAAACTACTGAAGGTAAGTAACTAACTTCACAAATTTTTATAGACGGAACACCACAAGTAAAGCTCTACTCCAGTAACTACACAGAGGGACATTAATTACGAATGGATAACGAGGCACTAAAGTAGACATTAGTTTTGAGAACTACCACACAAGGGCAGGATAAGAGTGGACACTTCACTTAAGACGAACTTTGTATATTCTCATGAATGGGGTCCCATATGTCCTGACCCATGATGCTTTCCACAATACCTTGCTAACTTCAGGTGTGTATTTACTGCTTGGTGGACAGAGACAGCGGGTGAGGGAAAGATAGGCTGCGGCGTACGCTTGGTTCCGTATATAGCTTTGTTAAATTATGACTAGATAAAGGTCTACAGAGAGCGAAACTAAGCGTTTAGATCCAGGGGCAAGATATGTCAGGACATTGTCTCATCAGGGGATCGAACATAGGTTCTTTTGGTTGCGAGACGAACGCACTAGTACTTATCTATCAGTTACCTCAGTTACGAGTCGCTTACAAGACAACCAAAACACTACACAAACAACCCGCGCATAGGGGAAAGAAAGCTTTTGACGACGTTTCGGACAGACTCGGACCATTAAGCAGTCACACTGGTCTAAGTCGGATCGAAACGTCGTCACAGAGTTTCTCCTGTGTGCGGGGTGTTTGTGTATTGTTCCAGTCACGGTATTGTGCCCTTGTGTTTTTTTTCAGCCAAAACAGTCAGGGAAATGAACAGATCAATCACACACAACACTGTAGATCATGCTAGGCTGGTCCTACCACACACACACACACACACACACACACACACACACACACACACACACACACACACACACACACACACACACACACACACACACACACACACAGAGGTATGATAAAGCTCACGGTTCAGGGAGAGTGACCAAGTAGCGACCAGTGAAGAGGCTTGGCCAGGAGCTGGGACTCGACCCTTGCAACCTCAACTAGGTGAGCACACACACACACACACACACACACTAACAATACCAACTCGTTAACCGGTCCAACCCATTTTTAAAGCCACTTAGTGGCGCCAACGGTAGATAGTCTGGGAATGCTGACGACTTGTAGACGATAGACATAAAAGAACTAACTGGAAATCTTATTCATTTATTATCTTCTACTGTCCAAAGTTTTCGCAACAACGACTACTTAGTAGTTTATTCTACTTATATACCACTTTATACCACTTATATACCACTATATACCACTTATATACCACTGTAGCCAAACAGTGTGCCTTCCTTCGTTCTTATTAAATATAAATTTATCCCACTTGAATCTCTTGCTTCGGATATTGAGCGATATACACCTCTCATTGTATATTTTCAGATATACAAATCCCAGCACATGTTCAGATATACCCTTCAGTGTGTATATATCAGCATACTGGTATATATATACAAAGATATACTCCTTTCTGGGTATAAACTAAGCTATCCATAACTTCAACCACCTCTAATGTCATATAATTTTCGTCCATAGTTACCACCTTCCCCACAGAATGGTAGAACAAGGGAATGGTTTACAAAACAGGTAACATGTGCTTTAATTATTGCCAGATTTAAAATACTATACAATAATCTTGTAGTTTTATAAAGAAATAAGTTATCTGTGATAACCCAAATAGGTTATCACAGATAACCTATTTGTCATTTTTCGAGAAAATTGCGATATAAGTGAACTAAAAATGGGAATTTCGAATTGTGATGAACACGTGTCAATATCTGAATAACTACACATGAGACATAAACGAAATGTGGAGATGCAGATTTTGATCTCCGACCGAAATCCTGTTGAGCAGATCTGCTGAAGAGGATCGCAGATGGAGATCATAATATGCAATGCTTCAATTTTCGCCTTTCTCACCACCAGTGGGTTTATTTAGATACAGGAATTTGCCAGTTTTTTCTTGGGAACTTTCCTGAGCTCCTGCATGTGGAGGTTCATGTTTTTTTGTAACATATATTTTGAAATGTTTCCACCATTTGTATTTACGTTTCTTCAGTCTGTCCTGTATTAATTCATATATGATATATATGATATATATATGATATGATATATATATATATATATATATATATATATATATAAAATATATATATATATATATATATATATATATATTTATATATGCAATAAGATCACAGTAAACAGGTGATTTCAGAATATGCAAAACAACCACTCTGAAAGAATAGAGAAATTCCAAGCGCTTTCGTGACTACTCACATTATCAAGGAACTATGAAAGTAAAGCATCCAAGGAAGCTACATAAGGGGTCTGGCCAACACCTCACTATCAGATCCCACAACGGTTAAATACCTGACGCGCGCCGACCCAACTGGATAGGTCCTTTGCACAACTCACCCACAAACTATTCTACCCAAGAAAATTAAAAAATTATTATTTGTCCAGTGTATTCTTAAATTCTTCCCAAATTCTATTAATTATAAATGGATCTAATTTATATAAACCAAAGGAAATATTCATATTATTGTTAAAACTGCTTTTTATGAAACAAGATTCAATTATATTCCTGTCGACCATGGACTTGCTTGATACTACTTTCTCAACTTTTTGAAAATCAACTGGATGGTTAAAATCTCTTACATGAATAAATAGAGCATTGGAATCTTGTCCAGTTCTAATGCTATATTTATGTTGTTTTAATCTTAGTTCGAGATTTTTACCAGTTTGACCATAATAAACTTTATCGCAAATTTTACAAGGAATCTTATAGACACATCCATCAGCATTTTGGGGGGAATTCTTTATCAAAAGTTTTTTTACTGTATCAAGATTGCTGACCTAGAAAATGTACAGAGAACCTTCACGGCGCGCATAACGGAGATAAAACACCTCAATTACTGGGAGCGCTTGAGGTTCCTAAACCTGTATTCCCTGGAACGCAGGCAGGAGAGATACATGATTATATACACCTGGAAAATCCTAGAGGGACTAGTACCGAACTTTACCTCCAGGTAATATTAAAAGTCTTAAGAAGAGAAGGCATATCAACCAAGTTTTCATGGTAAAGGAGAACCAACATATTTTTAGTTGAATAAGGCTGGTTGTCCCTTTTTGGATTGTAAAAAGTATTTCTAGCAACTTTAAAAGATTTATCAATTACATTTCTTGGGTATTTTAAATCATTACCTATTTCATAAATTTTGAATATTTCCTCATTTATGAACTCAGGACTACAAATTCGTAAAGCTCTCAAAAACATTGATGAGAAAACAGACAGTTTGACTCTATCTTGATGCGAGGAATAATAGTGGATATAGGAACAGTTATTTGTAGGTTTTCTGTAAATTTTAAATTTGAATTCATTATTACCCTTAATAATTAAAACATCTAGAAAAGGCAATGAGTTATTTTCTTCAAACTCAACAGTAAAGTTTATAGAATGGGCTAAGCTATTTAATTTTCCAAGGAAATGGTGTATATCTACATTTTTGGGCATAAGACACAAATATCATCAACATATCTGAACCATTTAGCTCTATTAGGGAGGATTGTGTTAAGCAACCTTGTTTCAAAAAATTCCATGTATAGGTTACTAAGAACAGGTGAAAGAGGATTTCCCATTGCCATACCAAACTTCTGAGTGTAAAACTTATCATTAAATACAAATTTTGCATCAACAATGCAAAGTTTAATAAGTTTAATGATAGTAGGAGCTGGCAATGGTAAATCATAGTTAACGAGTTCTTCAGATAAGAAAC